CACACACTCCGTTTTCTTGTTTGTTTTTTTCTTCCGTATCATCCGAGCGGCCAAAACACAGCACTGGGCCGTCCGTCGCCGACTCGTCTGTCTGGGAACCATGAACCTCTTGCCCAACAGTCTACCACACACTGACCGGTAACGACGGTGTGGCAGCTCAGTGTAAACACACCGTCCACTAAACAGTGGTCAGTACCTTGCTTCGCCACGATCCGAGGCGTGCGCGACCACCATACGTGGTAACTGATCGTGTAAACGAGCCCTAAGTGACCCGTTACTTCTCTTTAGACAGGAACAAGACAAATCTGAAATGTGAACAAGGTAGAAAATAATTGTTTACTCTTCGTGGTGTAAGACCGTATTAAAGATATCTATACATACCTTGTCTATTGTTTCTCTTTCCAAATGATAATATAATCAACACGTCAGCTGATTGACGCTGCACGGTAGTAAGTGGCCATGTCAGATGAGACTACTTCCAGCTTCTACGGGGGTGAAAAGTTAATTACGAGCGACGAGGTATTGCAATGGATCTATTAACTAATTCCGTGTTATACCAACAGCCGATAGAGACCAGACAGGTGGAGAGACGGAGACTATCGGGAACTGGGACAAATATGAATAAACAGAGATAAACGGGTAAACATAGACCAATATTGGCAAACAGAGAGACCAGTCAATACAGACAGGAAGTCAGCCTCTGTAGACAGTACTATGCATCTCCATCTGACGTCATAAGGGATCGGGTGGCCCTGGTGTGTGTAGGTGTATCATTGTTGCGTCAGGAACCCCGTCATCTACTGTCAGCGAGAGGTTGGTGACTCCGCTGCGTGTGGCCACTACAGCTATGTCAGGAAGTGTCAACTAACTTCAGCATGACCCTCCCTTCTCTCTCCTCGGCCACAAAGAAATGAGATACAACCTTTTGTTGATACGACAGGAATAAAAATATATATTTTTACTTGGCGTGGAAGATGATCCTCGCTGGCTGAGCTGAGGAGGACAGGAGGGGAATGTGAAACAAATGAAGAGCGGAGGGGCAAAAAGGATTAAAGAGAGAGGAGGAAGGAGAGGGAAAAGGAAAAACGAAAATATGGCACATAAATTCCATACATACACGAAAATATGAAACGAATACATTATAAACATATAATTCATTTGTGTAGCTCAGCAATGCTCACTGACACAACAAGAAAATCCCGCTGGAGCCTGGAGGAAGTCCCAACTGACAGCTTCGAGGAAAAAAATTTCCACCATCAGATAAAGTGGAGAAAATCCCACCGGCTTAAATTCTTTCTTTACATAATTTATTCTGCGTTTTGTTGGTTTAAGTTCGCTCCACTTATTCATCAGGTCGATAGTGGGGATAAAACGCTTTACCTTGGAGATGAAGTTGGAGAAAGTCGATCAGTCTGGCGAGGTGGCCGGTAACAATATGAGCCTACCTTTCAGCACTGAAATTACGCTGTGTACTTAATGGAATAATAACCATTCACTATCACGGCCTGGTATTGTTACCCCCGAAACCAAAGATTGCGAGTACCTGTATAGGACAAAAAGAAATTGACTTGAAAATTGACGGCTGGCTGGTAAATCTTCATTCCATGCGAATCAACTTGTGAGCGATACTAATAACTAAAGCAGTTGGTCTGATCCTGGGTCAGATGGGGGCTTTGACCTATCCACGAGACCCCGGTAACATTCGATGGCTGAAGTTTTACTGTATACCACGGGTGATGGTTGTGGAGACGTGTTGTCGATCCAAACAATGCTTGTTGACAGGGAGGAGCACCCGGGGCACTATCCTACCGGTCACAGGGTACATGGAACCCATTCCTCTTCGCCTACCGTTCCCCACCCAGCTTTTGTTCATGTGAACTATATTCCTATGTGTTTCTGTAATACATACTGTATCCTAAAATTGAAAGGAAGCATTAAAAGGCAAAGGTATATCAAAGTTTAGGATATAAATTTGTTATTAAGGTCGGGAATTAAAAATCACATGCGTTTCAATCCTGATCTGAACTTAATAATTCCTCCTCGACACATATCCCAACAGATGACTTTTGTGGCACACAAAAGAGACACAACAGAAAGTAATTATGAGGAAGAAGTGAGGCGTCTGTAAGTGCTGACCACAAAGACGAAAAAGACAGCCACCTACCCCGTTCCAGTTCAGAATCCACCACAAATATTAATATTGTTGTAGATATAAAATTTCTGGTTTACAGGGCACCTGACTGAGACACAACACCTGAGTGTAAATGAATGCTGCTCCTATTTTTGTGTTCACGTGTGGCTACATCCGAGCAGACCTTGCGTCGACAACCCAAAGGCCTTCTGCCACAGTTCATTACTCGCCTGAACTAACACCACACCTATAGCATCACTTCCCCCTGCCGTAGGTCCCTCGGGCAAGCGGTGGCTTAACACACGTCCGTTTCTCCTTTTGCGACTACACTACCACAGTCGATAGAAGCATGGGAACTCTATTACGACATTTATTAGCCACATATTTGAAAATAAGAGAATTCAAAACAAGCCATAAAAATTAACCAACCTCTGAAAGACTTCCAGGTAATAGTCTTACACCAGGACGAAGGTGAGAGGGATATTTGAGATAAGGGAAGGTCGTGTGAGTTACCTCGTGACCCTGGATGGACTCAGTATCGTGGATCGAAGGCTGTTGGTAGGGGTGTGGTGAACCAGATGACCCCCGAACTCGTAGCTCCTTCAAGACGCCTCCTGTGGTAGACAAATGTTGGAACACGTGATGGCTGCTAGGGTACACAACTGTTAGGACACGTGATGGTTCCTGGGGTAGACAAATGTTGGAACACGTGATGGCTTCTGGGGTAGACAACTGTTAGGACACGTGATGGTTCCTGGGGTAGACAAATATTAGTACACATGTGACAACCCATGAAGTAGACAAGGTCTGCTGGGACACATGTGGCAGCTAATGAGGTAGACAAGGGCTGCTGGGACACATGTGGCAGCTCCTGAGGTAGGCAAGGGTTGCTGGGACACATGTGGCAGCTAATGGGGAAGAGACAAGGTGTCATGGGTTGCGTTAGGCTTACCCACGCAACCAACTCCAAAGTTTGTTTTACCAGAGATAAGACGCCCGGCGAGGCATAACCGTCGTCGACACGAGACTAAGCGTGTTAACCTAGGTTGTTATCCCCGTGGAAATATCACGTGTGGATGCCTGGTTGCGACAAGAGCAATCCAGGCTGGCCTATCAAACCTACAGTAAATGGTTAATTAATTCACGCTTACAGAGTTCTCCTGCACGACACCCGTCTACCATGACTGTCAGTGACGCGAGACTATGTGTGGTAACCCAAGAGTACCTTTTGTTGTTATGGCCGTGGGAAGAAGTTCTTGTGATGAAGCCTGGTTGCAACAAAAGCAATCCAGGCTGGCAGTAAATGTATCACTTGAAGAATTAAGGCTCTGTTAAGTCACACCCATAGTAGAGTAACCACATGTGTTCCCAAGTTGAAAATTCCCTGTTTTAGAAGATTAATTTTATTACAGCGTGAACGTGAGTAAATCATATATCCATGCAAACTGTAAATCATTGTATGGAAGCTTGACAAATAAATGTAAGTGCAATTATCTGCCCGTATCTGTGATCCTATCTTATTATTACTAAAGGTAATGACTGATTGGTTATGACATAGTATAACCAATAACTTAGATGGATGTTGAAAATTAAATAAATTCATTAAATCATCATTTATCAAGTATAAATCATGGAATGTCGAGTGGTGGAGTGAACTTCTACGTAGATACGCCATAATCTCCTGTAAGTAATCAGTGTGAAGGTACCGGACTCTACGGTAAGAAATAAGAAATACGACATATTATTATCTTTATATAATATAATCCACTCCTACTACCACCGAACCACCCCAAAACCATGACAAAAG